TGGTATTTTGCATTACTGTTGTCAGCAAAGTCCACTTAATGCGCTCTATACTTACTCTAACACTATGGGTAAGGAAGAGATGGATCCAAAGGGGCCCTTTTGCATGTGGAAAGACTGATAGTAGAACCAAGAAAAACCAGCTTCCCATAATTATCCATCCTAATTTAATGTGGCAAAATGGGTGTGCATGTCAAATATTCTGATTTACACATTCATCGAAATAACACGAGTCCTGTAATAGACCCACATATCCAAACACCTCATAGCTGGGGCACACTCTTCCCTTTGGAATTAAAATTGTGAAGGCACACTTCACACATTTGTTTTCTTTCCAAGTTTACTTTGAGAGTGTGGAAAAATAAGTAACCTACTCTTAGGTGGAGTCCCTCCTCTGTGTTTCTGCACAAGAAGCAGACATGGGTGTGCTTCTTAACTGAGAGCAAACTACCAGAAACAGTGACTCCAGATGAAGTTTCCTACCTTCCTCAGTGGATGCCATTGGGCTCATATTACTTATTTATTTTTCATGGCCAACATTGTATGCCTCTAGCCATCATCCAGTATGGGAATTAATAGACTAGGCATTGCAGGCAAAGGGAAGCTTAGAGGACAGCTGAGTTTATAACCCTGGAAAAAATTGTCTCTAGTGATGGTAAGGGATGTATGTGTATTTGAGCTAATGAAAGCGGCAGCAAAAATTAATGTCCCTCTTTTAAAAAATAGTCAAGAGAAAGACAGAAAGAATAGAAGGAATGTCTGATCATCTCGAGATTAGAAAACTCCTGCTTCAAGAATTTACAGGAGATCATTTTTTAAAAATGTTTTGAATCTCCAGAAGTGCAATGAAAGTAGTTTTGTAGTTACAACCAAACAAGGAAGACTGCGTTGCAGTGTTTAATATTCCAATACTGTTTTTAGATGAACTCCATGAGAAACAGAGTAGGTTAATATCAAAGAGAAGAATAGATAATAGGTAAGCCGAACATGGAATGGAAGTGTGTATTTCATTTGCAATCAATTAGGATGAGAAAAAAAGGACAGTTACTAAGATAAATCAGCACAGGATGAAGTAGTCTATTCAACATAAATCACTGAACAAATAACTTGCTTTGCTATTTTGATGTGAGCGTGTGTGTGTGTGGGGGAACCACACATTTTGAAAATGGCAGCCGACTATTTGGTTAACAAAACTAAGTGTTAACAGCCAAAGAATGGCTGTATTTTTATTGAGAACTCTATGCATAGAAGATTTTTATGTCTCATGTATATATGTGTTCTTATGTTGCTCACATCAAAATGCACATATGCATTTTAAGGTCTCCATGCTGCCATCTAAAGAAAAGGCCTTTGGACTTCTGGGTGTGTTTTAGTTTGTATACATTGCTTCATATCTGTCACCTGTGTATTTGTCTGCTATGGTGATGGAATTTCTAGTTGTCTCTAATCCATCTGTCCTCTGTATATCAGTGGTGTGTTTTAAGGGGGAGTGCATCTTATAGTTGTGGCAATTGGGCTTTGAATCCGCTTTTTTCTTTCTTTTTTCTTTGCCTGGCAGGCTTATTTCAGGCACCTTGAGTGACAAGCACAGAATTTAAGATGCTGCTGAATTTGCAACAAAGTTTTGATTGAGTTTTTGCCTGCCATGCCTAAAACATTCAACCGCGCTGAGGACATGAAGAGTGTTGCTGTTTTAGCATCTGCCTCCCCCCTCCCTCTGCTCCCCTTCTCAGCACAAAACTTTTGCTACTAAGAAAACCCAAGCTCCAGGGGAAAAGAATCTGAATTCCAGCTGGGCAGTTTTCAAAATAAGATGAAAAGTTAAGCAGGCAATTGGTGTGTATTTAGGGCTCAAAACACCTTGCCTTCTAAGAAGTCTTGAAGGAGTTAATCCCTTCTCAAGATAATCCACTAAAGACCATCCTTCATTATGATGTTAAAAGCAAGGATCAGTGCTGGGGGAGTTTAACAATAGGACAGGGGTACTTTTCAATCCCCACCACATTCTTCCCAAGTTAGAAACAGAAACTGCTGTTATTCCAATGGAGAAACTGACTAAGGTTCTCCCTTGGTGTTAAATATTCAGATATAAGGAGCAGTAGGGAGTGTGTGTGTGTGTGTGTGTGTGTGTGTGTGTGTGTTTAGAATAGCTAATCCACTATATTAACAAAATTCTTATCTCACTGGCTACCTTAATTTTAAATTTTGTAGCAACTCAAGTAATTTTGTCATTATATGGCAAGACACAAATGCTAGAATCCCAATGGACCCATGATCACAACTTTAACACAAGGACATCTCATTCTCAGCAGACTCCGTTGGGATATTGTGAGTATTCCTGATTTTCTCCAATTCCCCTCTTAACATTTGGTTGCAAGCGACAGAGGGGAAACATGGTCATAAGATAGAACCATAACCAATTTCATGATGTTAACTGTCTGTGTGAGCATAAGTGCTTTAATTCAGATCAGCCAAGACATGTTACGGACATCAAAGATTATCTCCACCAAAGGAGATGTCATGCACAAGAATACACCCACAATGTGGGAAAACCATTGATCTTTCTAGGAATGTTTCCCCCCTCCCCTAAATCACCAAATTGGATTCATCCAGGCCAGTAGAACAACAACAACAACTATTAAGAGCATGGGGCTGTAGGGTCAATTCTTTTAAATGTTTAATATTGATTATGTGATGATAGCAATGGGGGATATTCAGAAAACAAACACAAGAATCTGAGCATTTCAACTAGAGGAAAAATAGGATGAAAAGCTCAAGCCAAGGAGAAATTGGAGTTCCCAAGGACCCATGGCTGGCCCAAGACATTTTGCTGCATCTGTCAAGAGGACAAGATGGCACCCCCTCTCCCGCAAATCCACATTTCATGTGCAGAACCTAAGTAGTTTGGCTTCGAGCCTGACAAATAGGGCAGTGAACTCCATCACAATAAGAAGCAGAGTCACTGAAGAAGCCCAGAACGGGCCATGTAGCTCACACAGCGCTGTCCTCCCGTGCTTTGTCGCTGCTCACTAACACATCTCACAATCATATGACATCTAAGGCTGTTGCTGCACTCTGCCTAATGATAGGGTTGGCCCTGCAAGAACCAGTCTGTTATATTGTGTCTTCCATCATGGAAGGCACGTGTTGTGGTGAGATCACCTAAACTGCCTCCTTGTTGTTGGGGCGGGACCGTTTGAATAGCCTCAACACCCTATTGGTTGTCCCTTGGTTACTGGGGTAGAATTTGGCTGTTTGGGGACTCTGATTGGCAACCGAGGGGCTATTTAAGCTGCTGCATGTCGCGTGGAGCTTTCTCTTTTTCGTGACATGCACTGGATGACCCTCCCTATATTTAGGGCTGTTCTTATGACCTTGCTATGCCTGTCTAGGGGTCGTCTGTTTTTGGAGCAAGGGCCCAGTAGGAATTTTGCCATTTGGCTGATTGACCGTGTAGCAAATAGTCACAACTTTGTAAGCTTGGCGGTTAGGCATTGGTTCAATGTTTTGCGGAGGGGAAGTGGTTGGCTTGTGCCTGCCCCTCCATTGGTGTTGCTAGGGAATTCCGTTAAAGGAATCCAGGAGCTTTGCCTTGCTTTTGTCCGAACCCTGTCACGGGGCTAGGGCCACGCCAGAGTCCCTGGGAGCATCTGGGGTGAGCTGAGAGACTGAAGCTAGCTTCGTGCTCCCCCAGAATACGTTCCCTTACTGACTTCTGTTGGTGCCCAGTTGTCAGTCCTGTCCTGCCACGGTGCAGGTTCAGGTAGTCTGGAACCAATGCCTAAGCAACCACTCACATGCTGTAATCAATAAAGCTGTGGCCAAAATTAATGCCAAAACCTGAAACTAAAATTATGTTTCTTTTGTGTTTCATTTTTTGGAGCTAGTTTTTGGGGGGTGTCTTCACATGCAACTTAGGCACTTTGAATATACTCCACTGTCAGAAGCAATATGCCTCCAAATCCCAATAGCTAGAATATATGAGTGGGGAGAGTGCTGTTGTGCTCAGGTCCTGCTTATGGGCTTCTCATTTGGGCATCTCATTGGCCACTGTGAGAACAGGACGGTGGACAGGATGGGCTTGATAATAAAAGCCAGGCTCTTATTATGTTCTTCTCCCAGGCAAAGCCAGGTAAGCTGTTTCTTCAGGCCTCATGGAAATCAGCTAACAAATGCAAGGCTGGCCTGCGTAAGGCAAGGTGAAGCAACTGCCTCAGGTGGCAGGATCAGCTCCAATACACACACACACACACACACACACACACACACACACACCAACATTTCCTTAGTCAATGTTGTATTGATAACTTCTTGTAGAGATAACCATCGATTTTCATTCACTGGGGCTGCTTTCATATGACAAGTTTCTTCTGTTTCCCTGACATTCCCCTAACTGTTAATTTCCACATTATATCTGGGCTTTCAAAAGATGTAAAAGCTACTTCTGGAAACAGAGTGGAATATAGTGCAAGTTTAAAATCAATTTCTGTGTAATTTGCAAATGCAGAAAGAAGTGCTAAGCTTGTGCTAGATTCCACTGTATTTCTGGAAGTGTTTTTTATGCTGTGTGAAAGCTCAAATGTAATGCAGAGATTCACAGTTCAGGAAACGTTGGGGAAACAGAATAAACTGCTGTGTCTCTTTCTTAAATCATCAGAGATCAATTTAATTGAAAGGGTATTATGCTTTCTTAATAAAACCAGGGCTGAAATCCAGCCAGGATGCACCTTCCATGGCAAAATGTACACAGGTGTAACTCAGCACTACAGGCCTTCATGGATAGTGTTGCTTGCACAGTAGTTAACTGTGTCCCCAAATGTCAGCCACTTTCCATTTACAGGTGTGTGTATGTGTGTTTTCCTGTACACAAATAAGCACCTGAGGCAGAAAATGTAAACATAAAATAAAAAATAAGACCCATGAAATCTATTGATTTTTGCCATTGGAGTACACACACGTCTCACATTTCTGTCAACCACTCAAAAAGACAGCCTGGCCACGAGTGAGATAAACATTCATGTACATTTCATGATGAATGAATCAGTTTAAAGGCAGATGATTACCCAAGATTCTTTAAATCAGTGGTCAGAGGCCCGCATCTATATGCCACTGGGCATCTAGGAATCTGAGAATTTCCCCCATAATCACCACCGTGCTCGATTATATGATGAAACAAGACATCTCTCTAAACAGGTGTCAACAATATTTCAGTTCTGGAATTACTTTTTAATGGCTCCGAGATTGAAATCATCTTGCTTGCATGTTTTTTTTCTTTTAAATCAACAACATTTGACCAGAGTAAAAGAAAAAGAAAAAAGAGAACGAACGAATGAAAAAAAGATAAGCTTCGTGGCATAAAGAAAGATGTCTTTTTTTTTTTTTTTAAAAAAGACCCTCTTAAGTTGATGATCTTTTCAAGTCACGGTTCAAGTCGTATTGATGGCAATTTGGCGTTGCGTCTATCTGCCCCCATCAGTACCGGCTCAGTGTTTGTTTCTGAAATGCCTTTAAGATTCCGCATTCCTTCCTTCGCTCCTAATGAGAATGATAGCAACCAGCTTTTATTACTATTATTAATGATTTCCATCTTTTGTACATAGGTTTCAGTTCCCCTTTAGCATTTCAAGAAGTCATTCATTTATTGCATTTTTTTCCTTTTTAAAAAAAGAGAGTGATCCTGTTGGGCTTGAATGAAACTTACCCCCCCCCCTTTGGTTGAACCAATAACTCAAACGCCTGATTATACCAATTAAAGACCAATTTGAGGAAAAGCCTCTAGCACAGAGAAACAGCTGCCATTTAGCCACAAATTATGTGCCTTATATGTGGGTGGACATGAAGATCTTTTAGAGACAAATGGATGGGGAAGGAGGCGGGGGACTGTTTTAGGGAACTGAGCCATGGGGGGTATTCACTGGGTGTGCTGTTAAAATAAAGAGGCAGTTCTCAATGGTTCTTTTGAGTTCAAGCCCATCTTTTCCACACCTGTAGCTTAAATGGGATTAATCACAGTCAGTAAGCAAGCTAATTCTTCTGTTTTGAATAGACTTGGAAAATATCAGCCTAGTCTGATAATATTATAGCCCAATCTTGTATAATGAATATGTTATTTATTATTATTTTATTTCTTTAAAACATTTATATACTGCCCCTACCCACCATTTAGAGAGGTGTACCTTCAGATTTGGGGAGTTTTGTGTTAATTTTCCTGCTAATAGGACTAGGGTTTTTGCCATCTTTTCTAATGTGCCTTTCACACTGCAGGACCTGTTGCATTATAGAATGGACCAATATACTGGTGTGTTGCAGTACAATTTCATGCACACCGTGGGCGTGGTGTCAACGCCACAACAAATGCCATTGGGCAACACTGCTACTCCCTCACTTTGCTGAAGGTGCATGCTTCTGTCATGTCATGTCACTGGTGGAGGAACGGGGGAACAGGAGGAGTGCACCGCCCGCGACACCATCGGGGAGGGGGGGGTACAATCGTGGCCGCCCCCGAACATGTGGCATACACCCCCCACTGCGCCATGCACCACACCCCCACGGGTGACGTGCCATGCCCCTGGGATGTGCGCCCTACCCCGCGGGACATGCGCCAGCCATGCCCCCGCCTGCTCTTCGCCCGAGGTGTCGGAGCATGCAGCTTCGCCACTGTGTCATGTCAGAAGGAAATACATCATGTCAGAAGGAAATGCTGTAACTGTATGCTGTTAAATCCCTATCCCCAAATTGATGAAGTGGTGATCTTATATGAACACAATGGGACTTCCTTCTGAGTAGATATGCACAAGAGTGTATTGTTAACCAGTCACTTCTCATGTTGAGTTATCCGCAGAGGGGCCACCCTCAGGACAGCAGCTCATTCAGATAGGTAAGTAAGTGGTAGGCTGCCCTGAAGACAGATGTCCCAAAGGTGCAAAGTATGATAAAAACTTTTATTGAAATTTTATTGTGTGAACTTGTATTGTTTTGTTGTTAAACAGTTGCTTTTGTTTGCATTCTGATCATTTGTATTATGTCTACTGTTTTCAAAGGTCTGTTCTGTTGCTATTTTTAATTAATATTTCATAGCATTTAATAATAATAATGATGATGATGATGATGATGATGATGTTATTATTTGTACCGGCCCATTTGCCCCAGGCACTCTGGGTGACTTCCAATAAATATAAAAAGCATAATAGTTGATTAAGCAGTATATAAATTTAGCTAAACAAACAAACAATCAAAAATAACCAAACAAATAACCAAGCAAATAAACCATCCACAGTCAGTGAAGTTATTTTGGCACCTGAGGCAAGAAATCTTGCAAGCACCTGTCCCTGCTCCCTGGAAATAAAGAGCAAAATAGTAATACATTATATATGTAATGATTTCCTGCCTTTTCATGACACCCACTATCTGTCACCTCTGGTAGATGCAGATGCCTGCTTCTCTCTAATGGTAGGGCCAGCCAACAATACTTCTCCAGCTCCAGCTCTCCCCAACCTGGTGTTCCCCAGTTGCTTTGGACTACAACTCCCATCAGCCCCATAAGTTAGAGGGCATCAGATCCTGAACTGAATCAAGCCAATCAGGGTCAACTTGGGATTTGGCCAGATCAGGCTGAGGCAGCCTTGGGGCGCCAAAACTGATGAAAGGCAAAAAACTATGTTCTTTGTCTTGCTGTCCGCCATGGTGAATTTATTTAGTTAGCTAGTTTACATACCACCCTTCATTCAAAGATCACAAGGCAGATTACATATGTGAACACAATCCAAATTGGGGGGTGGCATATAATTTGCAGACTGAAAACAACAACAAGGAATAGAGTCATACCTTGGTTTTTGAACAGCCAAGTTCTCGAATGTTTTGGCTCCCGAATGATCAAAACCCAGAAGTGACTGTTCTGGTTTTTGATCGTTCTTTTGGAAGTTGAACGTCCAACGGGGCTTCTGTGGCTTTTGACTGGCTGCAGGAGCTTCCAGAAGCAGGGGCTTTGGTTTTCAAACGCTTTGAAAGTAATACGGACTTCCAGAACGGATTCCATTTGACTTCCAAGGTACGACTGTATTGATGATATTTTCTGGATTGATTGCTGTTCTGGACATGAGATGGACAAGTGAACACCATCAATTTCTGCTCATGTTTCCATTTTGGATAGAATTCGCCAACACCCCTTTCATTAAACTTAGATGCCTACCTCCAGGTGTAGTGGAAGAGCCTGTTCCATCACCAGAAGGGTAGTGGTTGACCCATCACCAGGAGGGTCAATGTCCTATTATTATTTCTTCAGCAAGGTTGTAGCAGGATCCTTGTCTCCATCATCCTAGAGCTGCCCAATAAGAATGAAAGGGGAGTGTTTTAGCCACTAAGAAGAAGTCAGATGGAAAGGAGGCAAATCAGCCACTGATGATTGGCTCCTGGAGCCACTCTGGAGAAGGCATAGGGCATTTCCATTTCAAGAGAACCGTATGCAGTTTCTGTTATGTACAAAGGAACATAAAGGAAAACACATCTTGAATCACTCTGAAAGAAGATATTGGAGAACCCATGTACGTGTGCAGAAAATAGATATTATTATTATTATTATCATTATTATTATTAAATAGATCTAGCTGAAAGGCAACACACTGATTGCCACAATGCACCCATAATTCTTATTGTATAATTAAAAGGCTATTGTATAAGGGCATGGCTGTGAGGGGGCATGACTGTGACTATCTGAAAGGGACCCTGCACTTCTGAAGTTGCCACTCTAATGTCCATCACCATTGTTAAAATAGGAGTCACTTGCCAGCTGGTCAGCTGCTGTACATAGGGTGTAAGAGGGCACCATTCTGACCTCTGCCATAGGCAGCAAAGTGTCTCTGTGGAGAAGGAATTCATCTTATGAACGATGGGTGTTTCCAACATTTGTGGACATCAAACTGGCTATGACAACAGCTAAATGTACTTTTTCTTTGAAATGGCTGTGTGCAAAGATGTTTTCATCTTTGTATGCAACAGTACCGCACAATGCATATGGTTAATGAACATCTTTTGATGCATCTTATTTTATACCAATTAATCTCAGCATCTCCACATTTCATTTTACTGGCGCACGACGCGGACGTATCACTCAGAGTTTTCCGTTCTGAAGTCTGATAAAACTAATAATCCAAAACTGCCAGAGGTGCCACATAAAAACTAGCGAAATGGTTTCATCTTAATTGGATATGAGCGTTCCTATCTCTAATAACCCCGGGATACTTCTAATTGGAGTTTTCTTTATTTCTCTTTCTTCTTCTTTTTGTTTAAATCGCTAATTTCATTGATCAGCCTTAATACTTCTCTCTCCCTCTGCCCCCAGATGGTGAAATATGAAGCAGGTAGTTGGTCTAATTTCCATTTAATGAAGGAGGAATATTTATTTGCAATGCGCTCATAAAAGGGAGATTACGCCGAGAGGTTTGACTAAGACAATATAGTTATTGACGTTCTACCCAGCCACGTCTTGAAAGTTGGTTCTGTTCGCTGCCCTGCGATTCACCCCAGGCCACCAACTTCTCAATTTTCAGATGCTATTGCGAGACAATGGCTCCCATTGTTTCCTATTGCATTGTCATTTTATGGTAAATGCAGTTTAGCCTGGCCTACAGGGTGGAATCATGCTTTGGGGGGGCGGCTGTTTTTTGGATGGCTTTGTAGAACATTTCTTGGTTTATCCTCATTGATGGGAAAGCTATCATTCTGCCTCCGTACAAAAAGGAAATAAATGTTGCCTTATAGTTTTCTTGGTTTTCTGTTTCAGCCAGGAAGTGGGGTACCATCTAAGACAGGGCTAGCCAATGATGCCTCCCAGATTATTATTATTATTATTATTATTTCCCAACTTTCCTCCAAGGAGCTCAAGGTGGCCCACATGGTTCTCCTCCTCCTCATTTTATTCTCACAACAACACTTCGAAGTACATTAGGTAGAGAGAGAGTGACGGGCCCACTATTTAGCGGGAAGAAACTGACAAAGTAAATAAGTAGACTGGTCCAAGGTCACCCACTGAGTTTTATGACTGTGTAGGGATTTGAACCCTGGTTTCCCAGGTCCTTTCTAACACTCTCACCATTATACCACACTGTAGTCTACAACACTCCACATCTCTGAGCATTGGCCATGCTGACTGGGGCTGAAGGATGCCGCAGCATAGGATATCTGGAGGGTATCCAGTTGGGGAAGGCTGAATAATGGAAGTGTCACCTTGATTAAGGTGTTTTGTCAGCACCTTTTAGTTCTGTCAAGAGGATCTTTTGATCTCTGGGAATCCAGCCAGTATTGTTAGTTCAGCCAATGAGTTGGATATAGGTTGCTGGTAGGCCATGCATGTTTGGCAAGGGATGGTCAAAATGGTGTTCTTGAAATGTTGTGGGCTACAGGTACCGTCTTCCAGCTCCTATTGGCTATGTTTGCAAAACAACAACAACAAATTACTGAGATTTGTTCCAACAAAAATTTTATTGTGTTATTTTTGCAGGAGCTGTTTATATTACAAAACTTGCTTCTCTGATAAATAATTCAAATTTCTGATGTTTATCTGTTTCACATTATTAACTTCCTCAGTTATACAGCTGCAAAAAAATATACATAATAGCATGGGTAGGCAAAGGTCTGGGGGCTGGATCTGGCCCAATCACCTTCTAAATCTGGCCTGCTGGGAATCAAGTGTGTTAAAATAAAAAAGTAGAATGTGCTCTTTTATTTAAAATGCATCTCTGGGTTGTTTGTGGGACATAGGAATTTGTTCATTTCCCCCCCTTCAAAATATAGTCCGGCCCCCCACTAGGTCTGAGGGACAGTGGACTGGCCCCCTGCTAAAAAAGTTTATTGACCCCTGCATAATAGCTCCTACTAATTATCATTTTTCTCACTGAAACGGCAAAGGTGGGCTATGTTCCAACTATGTCTGCCATCTAGGTGCTAACTCAAGATTGGGGGATTTATTTATTTCTTCCTTCTGAGAGCTGTATCTCTCCTGGCTCTTAGTACCTTGAGTCTGGCTCACCCAACTATTCCATCTCCTCCTACTTCTCTTTGTCATCTGACCACCATTCAAGGAGGGCATGAAGGCAGGTGAGGGGTGGGGCTTAGGGGTAAGGTGTTTCATTAGAAAAGTGTGTCCCGGAGAGAGCCTCTAGTGTCAGACAGAGATCCCTCCCCTCCACCCCCATTTTTGCAGTTCCTTCCTAACATTTTGCTAAAACAGGAAGTTTGTGAATTTTCTGGTGGGTCACCGCACATGGCTGGAGCATCACACCAGGCATGTGCAGGCATGTTCGGGAGCTGTGCATTCTTATTTCTTCATGCATTCTCTCTCTCCCCCGTCCCTCCTTCTCTCTCTTTTACACACACTCCTAGAGGCAACAGCACCACCACATCAATTTGATGTTAAATTTGTGTCATGCAAAATCAGCTTCAATTTCTCTTTACACTTATCTTCTCTTATGATGAGGAGGCAATGTTAATGCAGAAACACACACACACAGGATAAAGAATAGAAAGAGCAAAGGAGGCAGGAACAACAATTTCCTGACAGCACCAATTAAGCAATTTTTTAAAGGGAGGGAAAAGATCCCCCCCCCACATTGTGAAAATGTATTCTGCTGGGACATAAACCTGTTTATAAGCCGTTCTGCTCAAACCCAGCTCCCCCTCCTTCCTCCTCATCCATTGCAGAATATCTATATAATAGCAGAAGTAATGAAGTCTGTGGTTATATACTGATAATATATTTCACAGTATATTTATCAGGTGAAAATGGGTCAGCATAAATTAGCTTGATGGGTTCTATTGCGTTAGAATAGTGCTTCCTAATCTTCTGATACCTGACACGCACTGAATTAAAACTGGAGGCATGTCTGACTCTTATACAGGTGTCAGGAACCCTAGGCCTAGGGCCAAATGCAGCCCTCTTGGCCTTTGGACTTGGCCCTTGGAATTGTCCCCTAGGTCACACCCTTCAGCAGCCCTGCTTCCTTCCCTCCTTGAGTGATTTTGCCCAGTTGGAATATGTCACTGAACTGGGATGATGTTTCTTGCTGGCCTGAATGGAAGGTGGAAATATGTGTCTACAGCTGTGATTAGTATGTGATGGGAAGTCCATACGCTCTTAACACTTTGAAACCAAAAACCGGGATGCCATCTTCTCCGGTGCCATCTCCCCATTATTTATCATGAGGTGGCCATTGTGGTTGCTGTGATTTTGCGCCATTTTGGACCACTGTTTTCTCCTCCCCCTCCTCAAAAAAGACCGCTGCTCTCTTGTTATACAAAATGGGATGTCTTGGTTTTTCCAGGACACTTCCAGGATATGTTAGTCTACTGCACAAAGGTAAGCAATAGCCACATCCATTGTTCCACCTACTGTTGCCTCTAGTCACAGCTGTTTTTTGCATCTGGCCCACCCACTACAGGCATACTCCCCCCCCATCCCACCCAAAGATTTGCCCATAAAGGAATTCAGCCTTTGGACTGAAAAGAGCTCTCACTCCTGCCCTTATAAGTTCACTTTTCTAATGCATAAGACTGTGCATTTGTGGCCTTATGGGGTATCTAAGAGCCTGTATAGAGTCCTTAAGTAGGTTCTGTATTGGTAGGAGAAAATATCAGAGCATGATCTTTATTAAACTGTTGCAACAGGGTCCCCCACTCCCCCCACGCAGGGAGGGAGGAGAGGAACCCTGAACAATGGTATGCAAGCTCTTTTATGGACATTTGAAATTGCTTCCCCTATAGCTCAAGACCACCCCCCAAAACATCATTCATACATCACAGGGGGGCGGTCTACAGCAGAAAACCTGTCTGTCAGGATACCTGATAATGGTCAACCACTGCTCAACCTAGGCAGTCCGGCCATTCTTTTGTGATGGTAAATACTTTAGTTCCTGAATCTCTTATATATATATTGATAGTTTGCTCAGCTTAACAGATACTTGCCAGACTGTATTTGCAAAGGGAGGTGTAAGCTCCTATAGTCCAAAGACAACTGGAAAGCTTTTCCCATTTCCTCCCTCCTTGCAGAGAAATATTTGAGGTCAATAGGGAGAGTCAAAATGGCTTCAGGATTGCTCTCCTGTACTGTTTCAGACACTACAGTGGTACCTCGAGTTACAGACACTTCAGGTTACAGACGCTGCAGGTTACAGACTCTGCTAACCCAAAAATAGTACCTCAGGTTAAGAACTTTGCTTCAGGATGAGAACAGAAATCGTGCGGCGGTGGCACGGCGGCAGCGGGAGGCCCCATTAGCTAAAGTGATACCTCAGGTTAAGAACAGTTTCAGGTTAAGAACGGACCTCCAGA